ATGCATTTGCAAAGTATTTCGGTACATATCCTTTCAATTCCCATGGCATTAAATGCTAAATCTAAACATGAAATATGATCACGTCGGGCCATCTGCATAATGAATGCCGTTGATTCACCTTCCAATATTCCTTCCAGTGTAGAAAGAGTTAAGTCAGGTGGATAAGTCGTCTAACGCTTCAAACAACTTGCTATTTACTGAGGGTGAAAATTTTTTGATTCCTTGTACTTTTAATATCTGACAAACCATCAGTCCATATTTCATGTTTTCTTATTGTTCACTTCTTAACGTGCTTCAAGTACAAGTAAATAATTTTTCAAAATAATCCGATTTCGTACAGTAATTGGTGCAGAAAATAAGAAGCTCGTGTATCATTATAACGGTAGGTTATTTCATCCTTAAATAATAGACAAAGCGTATGAGACAAAATCACATTTTATCTGAAGACAAAACCATTTTCTTTTAGCTTTTTTTTTATTGGTTACAGCTTGATGCCACACGTATTTTCGGTACAAGTATGGCATTTTCAGCATGGATATCGGCAGCCCAAATTTTGCAGGCCGACCATAGATATCAGGGGTGCGTCGGCAGGGGATCGACCCCCGGACCATGTGCATGTTCGGCGAGAGTCGTAACCACTGTGCCACCGACGCTTGTGGAATGATCACCAACTTGCGACCATTTTGTGCGACAGATGCCATCGGAGATGTTGAACTTGATTTTTATTTGACAAGGCTAACAAGTGAAGCAATTATCGCTCATCTATGCGAATGCAGTCTAGTATATTTAATGAAACAATCTCCACCATCAATTGCTTTCTTTTCAATGTCCTCTTCAGCATTAGCTTGTTTAATACATGTGTGATACGATGAAACAGCATGCATCACTGATAACATCCTGAATATAATTTACCATTCATTAATATTTCAAGTTCATATACACAAATCTGAAACTTTGATTATGTAACTATCTTTTCCTGCAATGAAATGTTGAAGTGTTGAAAAAATCCACAGTTATTCAGTTACATTGTCAAATTACAACTGGTATTCACTCACTACCTTCCTGGGTGAAACAGTGAGATGCTCACTCCCAACGATGTTTTAAATGGTTCAGTTTAGACTGATACCATAGGAATGCCTAGATGCTAGTAGAAAGCCTCGTCGCAACTTTAAATGTTTCGTTGAAATTTTCGATGTGATGTTTCGCTTGTTGCATAATCCTTCGCCTGTTGAATGTTTCCCACAAACTGAAAGATATGCAAGCGAAAAGCAACAAGTTAGCAGAAGAAGCATCAAACATAGGACGTCAGGTGAACATAGAGAAAACAGAGGTGATGAAAATTCCTGGGCATCACCAACAGCAACAACAACAAAAACAGACTACGATCAGCATAAACGGGAGGAACCTGAAAGAAACAACCTCTTTCACCCACCTACCTGGGAAGCATCGTTTCAACTACAGGCGGAACTGACGAGGATATCAAAGCAAGAATCGGAAAAGCAAGACAATCTTTCACTACTCTCAAGTCTGTGTGGAGGTAAACAGCACTCAGCATTAAAAATAAGATACGGATTTTCAACTCCAATGTGAAGTCAGTCAGTACTACTATACGGATCAGAGACTAGGCGTGTCATAAAGAGCATATCAAACAAACTACGAAACTTCATTAACAGTTGTCTTCGCTCAATACTCAAGATCAGATGGCCGGCCAGAAAAGATTAGTAACAGAGATCTCTGGGAGCGAACCAACTCAGCAGGAACCGATTGTGAAACAAATAGGCAGGAAGAAATGGAGATGGATTGGCCATACTCTGAGGAAACCATCAAATGACATCACTAGACAAGCCCTTGAGTGGAAACCGAAAGGGAAGCGGCGAGTTGGTCGTCAGTGCGAGGGTGACTTGTAGGAGGTCATGTGAAGAGATGAAAACGTGTGGGCAGACATGGAGCCAGGTGAAGACTCTAGCAGAGAACAGAACGCAATGGAGACGCACGTCTGAAGTTCTATGTTCCTATAGGAATTAAAGGATACAATAATAATAATAATCCTTCACCTGTTAAATGAAATGCGACAGAGTATGCAGCACTTGACAGCGTTGGTGAAGCAAGAAGTTAATCTGTCGTCCATCTAGTCGAAAGTCTTCCAAGATTCGGAGAGGGTGAGGTTAACAGTTGATTGCCATTCCAGCCTATTTTTGATGATGATTTACATTTGTGCAATCAGATCCGTGCATGATTTGTCTTCCTTTAGCTCAGACCGATGCCAGCGACAACATTCATCCCTGATATCCACTGGTAGAGGTGTATCTTACTGTTCTATTTAGAAATGACTTTCGGATAATTACGAAGATTTAATACTGTTGATAATATCATCTGTTTATGAATGAACCTAATTCACACTTTCATACTATCAAAGTGTACAAATACACACTGTAGATTTTTGGCTATTTAAGGAATTCAATAAATACCAAATAATGCTTCCTTTCATTGTAGATGAATACAGGAAGGCATTAGAAGAAGATTATGTTTTTAAGTACAAAGTTCTTGGTATGATTGATTTTTCCTTACTAAAAGTTGTAATAACACTTAATCTTAAATTAATTGGTTTGTCGAAATTATGTGACCAGCTCTGTGAAGAAAACATACAACATTTTGAACTGGTGTTTTGTGTCAAGTCATGATTTCTATATGCAATCATACTTACTTTTCAGCCATATCAATCTCAATTCTCTACCAAGACATTTCTCCGTGAGGATAAATCTGATCACCGTTAGGACCTTTCTTACCAGAGTAGAATGCTCTCTTATTGGTTCTTTTTATTGATTTGTTACTAAGGTCTACTGCTACAACAAATTGCATTCCAGTGATATTCATAACATCTCCAGCTTATTTGTCTATTGATTGAGGACACAATTGTCATAGAAATCTGACCACATTTACAATACGTTATACATGGCTTAGGTCACTTCAGTGGTTGATACTTGATATTACCCTGGAATCTGTTGGATGTCTAAAAGTCATTCATACTAACACATACCGCTGTCATCATGTTGAAGGAACATTCCACAGCTCAAAACATCACCTGGTCCACATTGTACAAACCTTATGAGTAATAGTTAAACCAAGTGAATTTTATTATTCCTTCAGCTAATAAGCAATTATACAATCGGATGAAGAGGCATATTGCGAAGAAATGGCAAAATCGAAAAAATCTCGATATTGCAGAAGGTAAATTTTTTATATGATTCCACTATTTAGAAAGGCAGTAGGCTATTTGATATTTTTTGTAGGAAAGTAAATTTTCTTCTTTCTTAATTAGGTAAAATGCGCAAAGTAACAGTAACCATTTCATTTTTACACACACTTTACCAAACGACATCGAAAAGGTGATGTTTTCTTTTAACTGTTAAACCCACGAGTGTGAATTCTGACTAAAAAAAGGAAGAGAACATGATACATCACCTACTGATAATCCTTAATTGAATAAATCATGAATTGATGGCGCTTCAGGAGAAAACGACACTATGTAGGAGTGTTCTGTACAATTCATTGGTTCCTCTCACTGATTTCTTTTCGTGATCGTGTGTTTTTTGAGGCTTCTGGATTTCCGTGACTTCATCATTAGCACTGATATTCAAACTTGTTTGAGAATGATGAGAATATTTGTGCTTAAATGCAACATCCAAATAACGGAGAGTATTTCAGGGAATAATTGATAGTAAGTAAACACCATATACGTATTCAATTCCTCATATTTTGTCATCGGAATCAGTCAAAAACTGACTGCTTGCCATCAATATGTGAGTGACAGTACACTTGCTCGATGGTTCGATAGCATTTTCTAATAAAGCTTCATACTTCGTAAAAAAGTAAACTGTGTTGGTGTCATTTAAACTGACCTCAGATGAATCCATCTTTGTATAAATCGATTATAATAATGTTGGATTCATTGAATGATTGGAAGTTGAATGACAGTGTGATGTATCAATTCCAGGTCAATTTTGGACGGGGTCATCAGAAAATTTAAGAAAATACAAAAGTTGGTTTTGTTTCATTTTGAAATTCATTTGATGTTTTTATTCTGATGAACGTTTCTTCATATTTTACTTACAAATCTAATCAGTAGCAAAAGTCAGTCCTTAACATGCAGACACTCCTCAATATGTAGGCTGTCCTTGTAAATACAATTTTTATCATGCGAAACCATCAACACGTTTATTCATTCAATGATTTTACAAATTATTGTATAAAAGTTTAATATTCTATGCAAACAATTATTGTTCCATAATGGACAAAGTCAAGTCATTATTGAAGATGGGCACAGGTGCCGTATAAATGCAGCTAAAACCTAAAGAAGGCATTTTCTCTACTGATGTCAGTAAGTACTCGAAATATCATGTGGTCAGTTGGACCGGGTATTGTGACAGTCAGTAGCCATTGCTTTAATATGATTATTTCACGCTGAAGATCACACAATGAAACATTTCAAACTTTTCCATACAATTGAATTCTAGTCCCAATTGCAATAAAAAAGAGGGATTTCAAAGCAGCAAAGAAAGCCGTGAATACAACCAAAGGTAAAATCATTGTGTAAATTTGCATTGCACACTACGTTCGGGAATAATGAGCTGTTAGTATGAAAATTCATTCGTCATTGTAATTGTAGTTAGTCATTAAGTGCTGCAATCACTCATCAGTAACACACATAATAACTAAGTTCTATTTATTATCCATTTCATAACCAGTAAAATAACTTCTCTAAAATATAAGGGAGGCCCGTTTTATCACCGAAGTTTTGGCACTACTTTCGTGATGAGTGCAGTGGGCTCTTTAAAATTAATATATTCACTTAGTTGTGAGAGGAATGGTGTTGAAAATAATAAAATTATTACAAAACGTTTTCGGATTGTCAATAAATTGTGTTGACTATGATAACGAACATGACATAAAGTTTCTTGATCAATGGTTTTAATATCATTCAACACTTTTTGTTTTCTTAGCTAACCTTAAAGTGCTGGAAACGATGGCAGTCATCGCAACTCACCGATACAGAGGAACTCAAAGTGAGTGAACGTATTCATTGATTGGATTAGTGGACTTAAAGGTTCAGTGTAGCCATGTACAGGACTAATATGATTAACGATTGGATGAACGTTGTGATGAATGTATGTGAAACGTAGGATTGTTTAATTGAACGTCAACACATAGACACCTGACAAACATAATTTTCTACATATATTATGCAATTCCTGATGAACTCTGTGGATGACGTGAAATCAAGATCGACTTGCACTTGCTATATACTCGGAGGCATACAGAAGAGTAGACGGAGAGTCAGGCTTTTCAAAATATTGGTGTGTTAATTTTAGTGAAGATGACGTTTACTGTCGAAGTGGAAAAGTTTACGCTGTGGTAAAATTAAAGTCGATATTAGATTAGTCCAGTGAATTTAACACACATTGTTGCAGTATTCATAATTGGAATACGTTTCTGGGACACTTTATCTCTCATAATCGTATCATATGATTGTGTTATTATTATTAATTAGCTTATTTGCGAGGTGTGGGGAAGGGAATATCCACATATGGTGAGCAAACAGTTTTATTCTGACCGAAAATATTTTGAAGTTAAAAATGTATTCTTCACTAAGCACCATGGGATTCACCTTTGATTGAAAATAATGACATTTCTACAGCAAGAAACTTCCAAAGTTCACGTTTACCAGAGAATAAGATCATCGTGACTAGCTTGGATTTGCAAATAATTAAAAATGTGGTTGTCAACAAGCCATCATCAAATAAAGTATGAATAAATATAAACAGAATATAAAATGACACTTTGAATTGACAGTGACTCTTTCTTGAAGATTTATAATTTGAAGGTTATAGGAATATAAGGACGATAGGCCGAACAGACGATAAATTAAATTAGGACCTCACTCACTTATTGAAAATGCAATGCTCACAAATTACATGTGCATATCTCATTCCCCACTGAATGTATTTGAATGAGGTATTTCCCTTCAATATTGTCAAGTATGTATGTGTCTATGAGTTTGATAACGGGTCATTATTTCTTTCAGACTCATTGAACGATAATGAAATTACGGAAGCGTACTGGAAGGCTCGCACTGATTTTGACATCGCCATAGGTAATTTTACATAGTTATTAAATTGGATTTCATATTGTTGCAATGTAACATTGAAAATGGTACTAATGCATCATTGACAATCTATTCACTGTTTTAGACGAATTAAAAGACAGAATAAAACTATTGGAAATGACGAGGTTTGAATTTTTAAAGTGTAAGTTGAAATATTGAAATGATTTAGAACTGATTAGACCAAACCTTAGAAGATGGAATAAAATGGCTTCTGGCTGAAATGAAAGAAGATGCCAATCAGTTCTAATGAAGTAAGTTCTTATTTTGATCCTGAGAATATTCTAAACTTCTAACTAATTGCACAGTTGAATATGAACTTGTAAATGGTTTTTGCCGTTAGATGAAACCGGCCAGATGAATGCTTGAGAAAAAAGTTAAAATGAAATTCAATTCACTCGCATTTCTCGATCACTTATCAGTTAAAAAGCACATCATAACTGATCTGCTGACCGACTGGTTACATGATCACAGTTTGTCAGTTGTAGACAGTATAAGGATTATAACAATTTTTGAGAACATGGCTAATTTTGTGTGAGGGGAATTGTAACTTGAAATTAAGTAGATAAAGTTTACACTTAATCTGTGTTTCAGTCTTCACTAGAAGTATTACCTGATGATTAACGTCATTGTTAGTTATACTTTGCTTCCGGTGTTATTTTGTTTCAGCTGCAGGAGAGTGAATTCGATTCCAAGGGAATTCAAACAGGATTGGTGAAGGGAACACATTATTTGAATATCTCTTTTTAGTTTTATTAAATATAACATTTTCCTTCATAAGATCTTGTTTCAGTTGAAATTTTCTATCTCTTCACTATAATGGGATATATGAGAATGAAGTAGCTAATTAGAATAAATAGTCTCACCACTTGCGCCCAACTTGGGGATTATGTTTTTTGGCTGATGAGGAGAAGTGTAATTCCTTGCAAAACACTTCAAGGCATATATACGTCTAAAGAAATCCTATCACCTCACTATTTTCAAGTTATTTACTACGCACATTCCCATGAACTACAATATCAAGGTTGACTGGTTAAGATCTAGCCAAGTGGAGGTTAACAATGCGCCTGTTCGTTATCTGAACGATATTTCGTTAACCACAGTGTATAGTTTAATATCTTGACTGTAAATTCTCAGTCACAATATGCGTCATCCAAATGCAGCAAATTCGTCATCCATGTTATGGAGACATATCATGGTCTGAGAATGATGAAATTAAAAGCTTCATTCTATAAACCATGTAAATGAGTCAACATTATCTTTTCAGTGCTCTTGTTTCCGCAATATTAAAATTTGTAATTAATGGAATGTGTTCAAAATAACACTGAACATCAAAAAGTTATTCACATCTCTCAGATGTTTCGAATAGAAAAGAGAATAACCTGAATGTAAGCGCAATATCGCTTGAAATTAAGTCACGCGTAGATAAAAGCTATCCCGGTCCAGGACAAACAAAAAGCGGGTCACTGTTTCTACGGTGCTACTGATAAACAAATCAATAATTATATATACAACAAACCTTAACGGTTTCAAGAGTACAAAGCACAGCGCTTAACAGAAAGCAAGGTACCGCTATCAGAATGGAATAACGTTAAAGCCAAAATTGCGAACTAGCCGGAATCAGACACGACCGTTCAGGTAAGTAGTCAGTAGAAGAATGAACCCAAGCAAGGCAGAGCATGGAACAGAGAGCGGTCAAGAGATAGACAGAGCATAGGCACAAAGATAGAATTTAATTGACTACTTAACCAGGTAGGCTGATACAGATGAAGATCAATAAACAAGATAAACTCGACAGAATAGTACAAAGTAAAACATGAGTCAGCAAAAATAACAGCTCACAAAAAACTCTGATTGGGTCATGAGTTCAACGGTCTGAGTAAACGGATCAATGTCAAAACACACAGTTCATTAAACAAGAAATGATAGACACGTTAGGCATGGATAATTGGGTTGCATTAACGCTAGGTTGACAGGTTGATTTGATTCAAGGATGGGAATTGAATTGATTTTACAACATACATGCACCATTTTTAGTACTGTCCAACACAATCCCCCATCAAGTAATGGTGAATTATATGTCAACTGCGTGGTAATTAACTTAGCTAAATGAAACAACAATAACAGGGTGGAAATACTTGTGAATCTTAAAACACGCAATCATGTAATGTACAGTGTATGGGTGACCAACCTAATAAAAGTGATCACATAAGAAAAATGAAAGGTGAAGTATCATGTGAAAGTAGTTATATTATTCAAGACCTACATTGATTCCAACGATAAAAATCACTCCTCTGAATTGTTTGTTAGAATCTCACTACCTGCAGATAAATGTGAGATAATGAAATCACAGTACTCTCCAGAAGTCCACCCGTAGTAAAGCGACTCTAGAAGGGCAATACCTACAATGTTACAGCTTCCTTTTTGTAAGGTGAAGAGGTCGATGACATCATTTGACACATTCGAGAATTTGTGTTTAATGTACAGGCTGGCGAAGAAATCAAGCTTTGTTGAGAAGTGTTTCAGAAAGACGTAGATTATTCTTAAATTATGACAAACAGAAAGCTCAGGAAAATACAAAGTAATATACTGCTCTGTAGCTGAGCTTGAATCGTATTGTGGAACTACACATTCAGTTAGATTGTTTAAATTGGATTAATACCTTACTCATGTCACCTGTAAACTGACTTTTAAATTTATTTGTTCTAGCAGTATCAGGTCAATGAAGGGAGAAAAGGAAAATTTCATTTAAGGATTTCTGAGCACATTTCAAAATATAAATGTGAGGAATCCATGAGTTTACCAAGTGCAGTTAGCCAACTACTCTTGGGTAAGGACTTTTTAGTCAAGATGGCCAAATGCTTCAAAATGTTGCATGAATAGGGAAAATCAAATTTATTTCGATTTACTGAGGTGACTGCTGTCACATGTTTACAAACACATTGAAAGCAGTCTGATTACTCATCAAGTAACTTGTGTTGACATATGACTGGGTTGGAATAGAGTCAGGAGTGATCAAGCGGTTACTTAGCATCAGTTCATTTAGTCTTTAACTGTAATATGAATTCTACCCAAATCCAGTGTATCAGTGATGCTGTATACGTTATCAGTGTAAACGATAATTGAAAGAAGAATTTCTTTGGTGAAAAGCAGTGGGTTCCATTAAAGTGGTAAGAAGAAATCAAGTTAACTGGTTAACTAAATGTTGCTACATTGAAGCTATTAATTTTGAGGTTAACGTACACATAATGGAATAGATGCAGAAAGACGTTTGTCAAAAAACTTAACACTAAGTTCCTATTATTTGCGAAGACGCTCCGAATCGATAATTACTATGACTGATTATTGACTTTAACTCCAAAACACCATGACTTGCAATAACTTATATTGTTCGGCAACTAAAATCTATATTGATACAAAGTATTAACACAAATGTTTTACAAGGAACATGCTGTGCTTATATTCGTATTCTTTCGTTATCTTCCAACTTACACACGATTGAATCATCCGCAACTTCGAGTTGCTCGCCGATGGCGACCAAGGCTAGTAAACCAACGTCCATTGTTCACATTTATTTACATTCCTCGGCAAGAAAGGGTCCATCCCTTTTTTCTTCTAGGCGATAAGTTTGAACTGATTTGCCAACGTGGGAAACTGGGCCAAGCGGGACTAGGCTAGTTCGCCTCCTCGGCGTGTAGGCTCTTCTTCAGTGATCGGAACTACATTTGCCCTTGGTCGACAGCACCGCCACTGGTCTGGTCCTCGGAGTGTTGGTTGCTTCATGTCACTCTGCACAATATCCCGCCGCGGCGTATGGAATCGCGTACAATGACTGCAATAGCACTCCATTCGTTCACAGTTGTAGAAGACTCGAAACGACTTCAGAAGTACTTACAATAACAATATAAGATGATTTACACAATGCAAAAAATATAAAATTAACCAACAATCAGATGAATTGGAAACCACGCTGTTACTTAGCAAAAATAAATGTAAACTCAATTTATCAAATATCATGGATTCTGCCTTGATGAGCTACCCTTGAAGAATTGTAGGACTCACAGCAGTACGCCTACAACCCTTCTGAGGTTGATACCCTTAAGTTGAAAACTCGTCGCAGATTTCATCTGATGACCTCCTTCTATCATCTTTACCGTCAACTCTGAATAGTGACACGATCATGACACTGTATCCTGAAATATAGATGACTAACAAACATATGACGTATATCACCAACCAAGCCAAGACACAGAGTAATTTACACTGAATATAATAACATTCAATTAGTGACTTGAAACCTGAAAGGCTTACATTCGTTCAAGTCAGTTTGACAATCACCTTTTCATACACAGTTGGCTTATCATCACTAATCTGGCCATTGACTTTCGTCCTTTCAAAGTGACTGATACTAGCATAATCACAGCATAAGTCATATGGAATCATGGACGTCCCTCTTACTGTGGATGACGACCCGAACAACGACTGCCTGATACAAGTTGATGAACTTAGCGGTGCAACAGAAGCTGATGTTGTTCAAACTTTAGAAGGTTGCCTTACCGCAGGACTACCACCACCGCTACATATGTCGATAAGTGAACTACACGTAGATCATTTACACTGACGGTCTCATGAGTATCCATATCTTCTGCAAGCGCATGTAAATTTAATTCTGCTCCACGTACAAATTGAACAGAACTTTTGTTCAACTCAGTAGTAGTAGGCATTCCGCTGGTCTCATCATGATCGGTCAAAGACAAATGTGCATTATCATGACCATTGTCACAAATATCCACTTTATCACCGTTTGTGTGATCGTCTCCTTCATTTTCAACCTCTTTAATAACAGCCGTGGATGACTTGTATTCTTCTTCATGAATCCTTAAAGGTTTGACACCTTTACTCTGACTAGTAATACCTTGTGAACTTTTGGAGTCAGAACTGGACTCTGAAACTGTAACCCTTTTCTTCTGGGCAAACTGCAGTGTCATCTCTAACACGCTTTTCAACAATGGCTTGTCAGTTGCAGCTACAGGCTTCTTCACCGCACCATCGTCGTCACACGATTCGGAGTCAGAACTCGATGAGGCTGACTTCACATTTAACTTACTACTAAACTTGTTCACTGCTTTGCAGTTTGCCTTCTTATCTTTGACGGGTTGTTCTCTTTCCGCAGAACTATTGCCGTGGAATTCCTTGGCATACATATCACGAACCATACGTTATACGCTCACATCATTGTCAGTAACCAGGGACGGTACTCGAGCGTTCGACACAGGCCCCCATTAAGTCCACCAAAGCGGAGATTTTGTAGTTTATAGATCCTCTTTATCTTCGTTGCTTTCTTCTAGCAACTTAAGTGCAGACTGTACATTGCATTCAACAAGTAATTTCACCTTCCTATCACTTTATAAACACACGTAGAAAGAGTATCTTAAGGGATTTGGTCTTTTATCTTGACAAGGTTGTTTCACTGTGTGTCTGATGTTTTGAAATAAATCTGATGTCGAGCTGATTGAGTATTTTTCTAATATCATGTCACGTCTCTGCTCTATATGGAATGACGACTGTTGATGTCCATGTTTTCGAGATGCGTTTTTGGCCGTACTTAATGTCTGTGTTGATTTTGTTGATGAAGTTCTATGGGAAGTTGTTTTGCTTGAGAAATTCAGTAATGTTTGATATTTCTTCTTCTTTTTCTTTCTTGTCGGTTATCAGAGAGTGTGC